GGGCTGCCTAATCGCTGGGGTGCCGCGCCACCCCGCAGAGCAGCTCTGCTCCCCTCACCCTGCAGCCACCCTGCCAGCCAGGGAAGGGCTTGGCTGTGTCCTCTGGGGTTAATTACACAAATGTAATGGAGTGATGTGGTCCAAATGGTTTGTAGAGCAATGGTGATGAAAGAATATCACGTGTACAGCAGACGTTGTCTTTATCTGATGTGAGCATCGGCAAATTTGCTGTCCCCTCATAGCAGTCACATTGGGTTCTCAGACCTTGGTTTTATCTCCATTGTTGGATTGTTTTTAATGAAAACCAGTGGTGAATTCATGCCAGCCAGGCGACGGGTTGAAGTGGTTCTCTACAGGCTTTGTTTTGGAGGAGGGTGTCCATCACTGTCATCCTGTGCTGGTCCCAGCCCCTTGCTCCTTCACAGCCACATGGAAAAAATTACTAGGGGAGCTCCTGCTTTTCTGATGTTACACATTTTTTTCCCTTTGCTTACTTATTTACTGAGAAATGAATTGCCTTAACAGAATAGTTCCATGCAGTTTTCATTTTATGTCTGTGTTCATTTCAATTTCTATTTATTCCTGTTATAATTAGAACACTCCTTACATGGCCCATTTAATTCTACTAGATTTATGATATAATGGACAAGAGAAGGTTCTCTGTGAACACAGTATATTAATACATTGTTACACTGAATTATGGTATTTCAAAGTTCATTAAAAGGGCAGTTAACTCATGGCTGGACATATACATCTGAGTACAGGAAAAATATTCACCTTTATTCCCTTAATTTGTTGCAGTGGAGTAGAAATACACTGGTCTGGAAAGCTATAGTATGGAATGTGCATGTTGTCAGGAGCAAGCATCAGATTGTCATCTCAAATTAGGACTATTGTGGTTATTCCATAAGGGAAAATTTTGTTTTATTAAATCAAGTTGAAGAGAGACATTTTAACTAACAGTGAAGACAATGCCATCTTGTTTTTAATTGTTCAAATCTCCTATTTGTTATTGGTGTGATAACGTGTCAGTACACGACAGTGTTAATGCATACTTTTCTATTGACATTAATATAGTTATAATTAGAAATGTAGCTGATACAGTCCATGGGTTTAATACAGCATTATTAATTATACTGCATCCTTGCCAGAAGGCTGCTAATGTCGGTTCTCTTAGAGGCTGAGAGACTCATTGTAATATGTACTAAATGCACATTGCTGCAGCAGAAATAGCTTTATGGAGAAGCATATTCCCACTCTAAAATGGGCAGAATAACAGTGGAAGTGCTACTAAGCACCCTGTCAACATACTTAAAACTATCCTGCAAATGCATCTGAACTTGGGAACAATGAGCGACGCGCTTTGCCTCCGCCGTTCAACCGGGTCTGTGCAACCTGCTAATCCTCACTAACAGGCAGTAAATTATGTACCTCCAAATTTATACAAATGCCTGCCTTTGACATCAGTGGGCACCACCCAGGTTTCACCTTCAGGATTCAGATAATCAGCTCTCATTCCTCCTGGCTTCCCTCAAGACCAATATGGAAATAAGTATGTGTCTGCCAGGGATCAAATGCTTTTGGAGACAAAAGTAGGTACTGAAAACATTACAGGGATACTATCATCTCCCCATGATACTTTTACACAAAGCGCTCTGTTCCTCTTTTGGCCTGACATAGTTTCAGCCTGACAGAATCCAGCAGGCCTGCTTGTTTTAAACAAGAGCACATCCTATTATTTTTTTGAGAAACGAAGTGTAAAATTAATGCTTATTATTTTGAGCCCAGGAAAAAAAAATTAAGGGCAAGAAACCCAAGATTCTCATTTGCTGTGCATTGCTTCTTTAGTCCTGTAATCAATTGATCCCCACACAGATACAGTTATGGAGAAATGGGAGAAGACCTAGCACAGCAAGCTGTAAAAATCTGCATTTATTTTACAAATGAGAGGGGCTGTATAATTCACTTGAGTTATGTAGATCTCTCATAGATGCTTATCATGCTTAAAAAAAAAAAAAAAAAGGAGGAGGAATAAAAATGAAGGAAATTATGATATGTTTTCTGTTGCTAACACCCAGTGCCACACATTTGACTGGAGTGTTGGCTGTCACGCTGCATTGTCAGAAAGCTGCCTTGCATGTATCTATATGATCTTAAGATAATTCAGGGAAGTTATTCTGCAACGGTGACTGAGTACCCTATACATGTGCTGTGTTTCTGTGTAAAATAATATGCTGTAAAATGCCATAGAGGAGAGAGTGATTATAGCAGCAATTCTATCTGTATCTTTGGGCATTTTCATATTTTGAATACACATGCATGAAAAGAGAAACGTTTGTCATGCTAACCATGGTACTTTTTTCCCCCTTTTTTCTTCCTGGATGGTTTTATAGACACAAGAAATACATAATGGACTCCTGTGGGAGTGGAATAAAAACCCCCACTGGTGAGGAGAAGGCCTTATAATTCAGAAGTGGATTTGCAAATCAAAAGGTCTTGCCTCGAGTGGGATAAATTTCCAGATCTGCAGGAACCCATTATGTTTTATTATTTTTCATTTGAGTTTTAGTTTGTTTGTTATGGGTTTAACTATTTAAAATACTGCAGGGATCAGCCAAGAAAATACACTATCTCTGTTACCTAATTAAACATACCAAGCTTGTAAGAATATACTTCTGTTGAAATGCTGAGCATTATTGGTTTGTTGTTGGTTTGGTCTTTGTTTTGTCTTTTTAGTTTAATTTTACTGAAATTATAGGTATTCAAGCTGCAGAAAGAGCAGTGTCTAATCATCAGCAGTATGTCCATATTTATGAACAAACACATGCTCACGCAGGACCATAGGCTGTACATGAATCACTGTTTTACAAATATTCACTGTATGGAGGGTAGAAAACTATGTCAAAGACGGTTTCTGTGATTTACTCGTAGAAGGAATTTGTTCCATTCCCCCCAGTACCTGCTTTGTCCTCTCCAGGTTGATTTCAGCATTCGGCTGCTGTTTGTGGCCCTGTGGCTGGGCACGCGCAGGGGGCTCAGCACAAGGCACATATCCCTTTCCCATCTTTCCTCCCCTCTGGAGCAGATTGCAATGATTGCACAAAGCCAGAACTTTTCAGGCAAGGGTCTGATGCATGAAGCCAGCCTTAAGCTACAGCGAGAGGTGAGGGTCAGGCTTTGAAAGCCATCCTTCAGAGAGGGTGATATGCCCATCTGTGGTGGCTGCCCAGAGAATTGCAAACCTCGTTGATTCAGAAATATCGCAGTCCCTGTTTATGTCTGCCCAGGGAATTCATGGGGCTGCTGCTGTGGAGTCACTAGCCTTTTCATCTTTCTATTCCTGATTCTTTCCTCCCTTACCTTACCACCTTCCCAACCCACCCATTTACTTCTCCCCATCCTGCCTCCCCCTTCCCCAGCACATCTCCAGCACCAGGGCTCCTCATCAGTGCCCTGCTCTGGCCCCACGTGCCCCCAGCCCGCACCCATGGTGGCAGGGTTTATAGAGCCCACCCAGCCTCAGGCTGGCACAGGCCACTGCTGGCACATGCTGCTGCACGAGGCACTGCAAGGAGATTTTTATTTGGGTTTTTAGCTGTTATTTTTTCACAGTGCAGGGAGGGCTCTTCAAGCCTGCATGCTCTGGGAATTGCCTCCAGCTGCAAATGCACGAGAGGCCCTGAGAGCCTGTGCACAGTGTGTCACACACACCCTGCCCACCTGCCTGCCCTGCCACCCTAACTCCCTACCACGTAGCAGGGCTTTGAGATACTGAGAGTACCAAAGATCTTACAGAAAACAATAATTTTCGTCTGTTTAGCCCTTTTAAATATTTTAAAAGGAATTTAAAGCAATTATAAGTAAAACCTGAAGGTTTGCATCGCAAGATCCAAATGTGTTTGTTTGGCAAGAGGTTGGTTGATGGCTGATAGTAGTTTCTGAGACATCTTGGAAACAAAATGGAGGTTGGTGAGACTTCAGGATGTAAAAATAGTGGAATGTACATCAAAAGACAGCATTTCTTTACTTTTTAAAATATGTAATGCCATAATGAAGGAAAGCGTTGACAAAAAATCTTTAGAAAAACAATCAGCAAAATTTAACTTTTTTGGTATTCTCTGATTCATATAAACCGTATAGTACGGTATATAAATTTCTACCACTTCCTCTTTCAATTCAAGAAAGCCAAAGGAGTGATTAATTTTGTGTGGAGATGGCTTTCATGTGGCTTCAATAGCTGAAGAAAAGGTCCAGCTGCATGCAAACCCTCAAATGTCAGTAAAGAGAGAAACATATCATCTTGCAAAAGTGGTAGGCTTGAAACAATAGAAATAATCATGATTATTTTCCTTTGAGTTCAGCTAGAACATAGGGACATTTAAAGTGATCCCTGTATATTCAATGCTTAAGATATGTGACACAAAAATTACACTTTCAAATGACATTTAAATACCTTCAATGGTCACTTCAGCTTGGAAAAAGCCAAGAGAGATTGAAATCAAGACTGACAGTGTTCTGGGCTCCTGCTCTTCTCCAATAGTGTGTTCCTCTCTTGTATATTTGCAGTGTAATCTGAGGTGAAGATGGCATCTCAGCCCACTTTCAGTGTTGCTGGTTTAATTCACACTGTTAAATTAATTTTAAATGCTGTTTGATTATTTAATAGTCTACAGGCAGAGTTCGCTGCTCTCCCTTTGTGGCAGGGTGGGGCTGGAGCGGTGCAGGGCTGGCAGGAGCTGGGAGCAGGCGCCTGGGTTCCTGATGGGCTGATGGCAGCACCAATTTCATTGCAGCTGAAAATGGACACCCCTGAAAGTGAGTGTTCAGCTGAAGGCCCCGTGTCAGGGGCTCAGCTGACTTTTCCAGTGAGGCCAGAGCCACAGCAATGTCTGTGGGTCCTTGAAGCCGTGCGCGCCAGCACGGGTGTTTCTCGCTGACTGCTGCATCCCCGACACTAATCTGCTGTGTCACTAACAAGTTGTATCATTTGAACCTTGCAGAGGAAGGCATCAATCATGAGTGCAAGCTGTGTAACCAGATGTTTGACTCTCCGGCAAAGCTCCTGTGTCACCTGATTGAGCACAGCTTTGAGGGGATGGGAGGCACATTCAAATGCCCTGTTTGTTTCACAGGTAAGACAAGGAGGCCAACAGAAGCCTCAGCGTGCATGGCTTGATCCAGAAATGATCACTCGGGGGATTTGTAAAATACTGAATTCCTTTCCTTGGGAAAAAGAAATACTGTGGGTGGAAATGGTAAAAATATATTCTGTGTGAATCCAGGTCTCGCTCCAAAGAGCAGCACTGCCACTCAAATGGCAACAGTGCCATTCAAATCCTTTCAAGATGTATATTGTGGCTCGAAGGTGAGATGTGTTTCCGAGTGCAGGATTTGCAACACATGGACCTGCTCTTGCAAGCCCTCATTGACCTAAGCATGGACCCTTGAAAGGCCAGGTAGCTTATAGTCCACTGAGACTCACATAAGTAAATGTTTGAGAAGACCAAATTTTACAACTGCATAGTTTTGCCAACTGCTCTCTCAGAGGTTTTTTTAAGGCCAGTTTGCACATTTCTAACTCCTCTCTGAGGACCTTCTACATATTTTTTCCTTGTAGTTAATTTTAAAGCTGCCTCCTCATGGCAAAAGATCTGGGGTGCTCCTGCTTAAAGGATATGAAGGGTGTGTGTTAAGGGCTGCCTTTTATGTGCTTCTCAAAACAGTAGTTAAACAGTTTGAAAATGTAGATGTTGAGAGATGAAGATCACACAGGTGGGACCGTGGACCTATTGCAAGTAAAGGGGTATGTCAGCACGTGCAATTTCTTTACCTTCAGTGGAAATAAGGTGAACCCATACTCTTTAGAGTTTGCCTAAAAGTTAAGAACACCCTTTTTGGTGTGATCTTGAAGTTAATTTATCTTTTCCTGAAATGTGCTGTAAAATAACTTCAAGTGCATGTGTATTATTCTGCTGAAGAAGCTTTTCACATATTGATGATCGTTTCTATAAAATGGGACAAAAATCAAATGAGACTTTTTTTAACCAGTAAAGCTTGAGGTTCAATATGTTTTATCTCCAAATTTCACTTGAAAAGGCAGAATAATTGTCAATTCAAAATCATAATGCAGATGCTATGATATTTGTGATATTAAATAATAATATTTTATTTTTATACTGAATGGACAACCTATTTGAAATGTCTAAAAATTAGATAAGGCTGTCCTTTCAGATTCACTTGTCTGCCAGAAATGCTCTTCTGGGCTATGTGTCTTCCAGGCCAGCTATCAAGGCTTCTCGTGACCCAGTTGTCCCCATTAAAAATGCATCTGATGCACCTGCTGTGGGCCTAGGGGTTCCCTGCAGGAGTGGTGACACCCTCTCTTCAGTCTGATGATTGAGTTCTTCCAGTTACCCGTGGACAGTGTTAGCTTTATGTGAAATATCAAAAATCTATACAGGATTTAGACTCTGTTAGAAGTAAGCTG